TTAAATTATATAATTTACTACAAAGCTCATGTATACATATCAATAAATTATTAAGTGAAATTTTAATAATCCGTACTTTCAAACGAATTCAAATTTTGTAACATTTATTTCATTTTCCTCTAGTTTGATTAAGTTGAAAATGAAACTAAATAGGTCCTTTTTATTCTAATATATTCTTTAAAATGTTCATATTTTAGTTAACAAACGGTTGAATATTGTAATTATTTATTTTTTTTTATCATAAATAAAATAATTATATGCATGATCTTAATTTGCATAAATTTTATTATAAACAATACAAAGTTTCCTCTAAAAACCATTCTAAATAACTTATTAAAAAATTAATTATATAAGTGCATATACTATAACTATTAAGTTTTTTGAACCCAAAATTAAATAAAATATTTATAATCATTTATACTTAATTTAATTTTTCTTCATATTTAAATTTGCTTCATATATTCATAAATAATTCATATTTAACAGAAATATGAATTATTATTAAACCAAATTACTGTATTTCACAATGAACTTTTAATTTTTAGAATTTTTACTTATTTAAAATCATGAAATATAAAAATTAAAAACAATTCTTTACAGTTATATAATAAAATTTTTCACATCAAAATTTTATAACTAAAATGCAATATTATTATTAATAGCTAAAGAATATGTATGCGGTCGTGTAAATTAATTCAGTTTTTCGTTTTGTTTATGTATTAACTGACGATTCCCAGGCAATTTTTAACAAATGCATAAGTTTGTAACGTCCTTTTAAAGTTGATAAGTTTTTTAAATTAATTCCTAATTTCATGCTTTTTTCCCTAACATAACAAGATGGCAAAGACTTTATTTTGCTCATATTTGATTCAAGATTTATAAAATATTCAAGAAATATGGTAACTTAGTAGTCGATTGTTTAGTAAGCAAACTTGTTTATTAATAGAAATTTGTTTATATTTGCTTATCTATATTTTTATTTTGGCAAAGCGAATTATTTTTAATAATTCATTATAGATTATACAGATGGAATATATAAAATAACGTTGGAAAATAGCAGACAAAACCAAATGAAGAAAGTGACATGATATAGCCTAAATACTGATCCTCCGATCTAATTTAAAAGTACTGCATACAGCCTGATTACTATTTGTTTAAGGAGAAAACAAACTCATCGACACGACAATCGTATCATAATTAGAGGAGAGATTCGACCAATCACAATAATCATTTCTCTGATAATCATGCCTACCGTTATTTGTTACGCTTTTGACCAATTATCGTTAAGAGAATGCGCGGTTTCGGATACTTTAAATGCATAGGCCTATACTTGCTTTAAATTCCATTAAAGAAACTACGCTTTTATCATTTTATTCACTTCATTTGACTTGCTACAATTGTGATGTACAGTATTGTACAGTATAAGGAGTAAAAGAATACTGCCATTCGTTTGGATTATGCATAGATTTGGTAGAGCATAACAAATTTTATGGAAGTTTCAATTGTAAGATGACAAAGTACTTAAATCGTATTTTAAAATATATATTTGTTATGCTAAGTTAAAAGTAGAAAACACAAAGTAGTAAGCATGCTCGGGGTTGTCGCAATTGATCGAGTCTCTTTTCAGCCAATCATAACACGAAGAATATTTATAATGGTCGTGCATGTCAGTAGTTACTTTCGACTTTTACCAACCCCTGATAAGAATATGCATCGTTTTAAACTTACTACAAGATTTTTAAGATCTACAAACACAAAAAAAAAAAAAAAATCTTCATTAAGAAAAGTTGTGTTCATTTAGATTTATGTACTGTACTTTCCAAATCAGAATGTAGAATCGTAATATACTTCTCGTAATGGATACTTAATATGTTTAATAAATCGCAAACATATTGTGCTTATAAAAATAATTATATATTTTATGTTAGCATTAAATTTATATCTAAATTTTGTATGGTCTGCAAGATCCATGTTGTACAGATAAATCTAAATTAAATTTTATGCATACATATAGGTGTGTACTATTTAATTACTTTAATTAGAACATATATTATCATTTATAATCCTCTCCTTTACACATAAATAGGAGTATATATACAGAGAAGGCCCTATATATATGTAGAATCATAATTATATAATATAATATGCAAATAAAAAATAAATTATTCGTTAATATATAGTTAATTCTTCAAATATATTATAGTTAATAATATTCTTATAACATTCTTCTTTTTTGGATTTTGCCCAAAGTTTGTTATTAAAGTTATTTTAAATTTAGAACAAAATTTAATAATTTTATATTATTTTACACACTAATTTAAATTATAATAAAACTTCATTAATGTGTTACAGGAAAATTAACATGATAAAACATTTACTATAGATATTTAGTCCTGCATTGTTTATTAAAAACTATTAAGTATAAAAACAATTAATTATTTAAAATTTCATTTTATTTTTAAAAAATGATTTACAATTAAAATTTAACATAACTATTTATTTTTGTATGTTTTATANTTACAACAAAAATTTTTCTTGTAAATTTTACAAAATATTGTGACGTAACAATAGATTTATAACAAAATTTATTCTTACGTCAAAATATTTTAAAATTGATTACTTTTTAGCGAAATTTACATTTTTTTATAATCGTATAAATTTTATTGTTACGTGTCAAAATTGACAATTTTTAAAATAAAATTATTATTTTTTAATTTTTTTATACATTATAATTGTAATAAACCTATAAAAATGATACAATTAATAAAACTTTCTGAATTATTATTTAAGCTTGGTTTAAAAATTAAATTTTTGCATATATTAATTTAGTAGAATTTATAACTTATTAATTACTAACATACAATTAATTTTTATATAGAAATAAAATCAAAAAATCCAAATATTTATGAATTATTTTGTTCAATAATTTTCCTTAATTATTTTTATTATCACGTTCGATTTTTCCAAATGGTTGAATATTTAATTGGAACAATTGATGCGTTACTGTATACAATACAGTAGACATTTCTCACTTCAATTTATTTATAATAATTGCATAATTATTTTTATTTCATAAAAAAAGTATAATAATATTAGCCAAATTAATACGATGTTAAAGTTACTTCCATTCTGATATTGATATTAATATAATATTTTAAAACATATTTCTTAAAATAATTTTTAATTTAAACTGTAAGAAATTTATATAAACAATCGAGCTATAACAGTGTTAAATAAATTATTTAATATTTTCGTTATTCATTTAATAATAATTTATAAAATCTTATGTTTTTCATATAATGTAAAGAAAGCTTATTATTATTATAACATATATAATGTATACATAATTAAATACATAAAGTAAAAAAAATACATATTTTGTAAATTTATTTGTAATAAATTCCATTAAAGTCTTTCGAGATTGGTTACGAGTAAAACAAAATTCATTAAATTAAAATTAAGTATATAAGTATATAAATAATTGAGTTAAATACGTTTATTATAAATTTTTTTAAATATATAAATAATCTGTAATATTTTCATTGGTGTATTTTTTCACCATGTATATTTCGTAAGCTTAATCAGTTAAAACATCTTTCAAACTCGTAATAGATTCCAATAACCTACATATTATGTTATTTATTTTCTAAGAAAGTCTTCTGATTGCAGTTACAGATAGTAAATATAATATAATATATATAATTTAGTTTTATTAAACTTTTAAACTATATTCGATATTTAAAAAATTTAAGTATATTTATTTATTTAATATTATCACTATGAGTTGTGTTATTTTTTACTTTAATAATATATGTAAATGTAAATATTCGTATAAAAAAATAAAATTGAAAAGAATTTAAGAGTTTAAAGCGTTTAAAACAATTAAAACGCTATTAATTACGAGCCAATAACTTCATTCATGACTAAGAAAAAGTTGTGTCATCGTTGTGCAATTTCCACGTGGTCTTGAAACATAAGTCCAAGCATGTGACATTTTGTTTATATTTTACAACCGCAAATAAATCTTTCGACAATTAAAGAATGCTACTGTATACCTTTCTTTCTACCTATATTTAATAACTGTACTTGTACTAAGCTATATTCTATATATACACGAATTTTAAGTCGTATTTTTAATTGTTTACTTATACGTTCTTTGTTTCTGAGTACTTTTACGTGTTATGAACCTGGCTATTATAGTTTTACTCTCGTCCTTCGTTTCGATGTTAAACTTAAGAGTATTTGATCATTGTTCTTATAACAATAAAACTTAAAATAACTACATAGTTGAAATTACGTCATTATAAAGGACACGCGAGGTTGACAACGAAAATGACGTCATAGGGAATCTGCGCCGTAGAAGCAGAGTACACCGAAGCTAGTTGCGTCACTAAGTGATGACGCACTTACCGCTTCGATCTTGAATAGCCTCCAGGATGACGTCACAGTCAGTCACTATTAACTGCGCAACAATGACATGAAATATATCACGTCATAAAATATAATTTGATCTGGATGTCGATTTTCCAAACTTCTTATCGTTAAAACTTATATTTTAACAGTATATAAAGCATTTTAAAATATTAAAATATACAATTTCATTTTGTATTTTATTTACTTTTTTTAAATTGTATAATTTTCTAATTGTACTTTTTTATATTTTGTGTATATATGTATGTAATGTTTATATTACCGAAGTGTTTTTTTTAATTTAAATAAAAATAAATTATTATATCAATAAATTAATTATCTTTTCAAAGGAAATACTAACTTTTAATGTATTTATAATTCATTACAATTTGTAAATCTTTTTCTTTTTTTTTTCGTGTATTTTCTTCTTTTTTACAAAATTCATGCCGGTTTGGTCATAATAAATACAAATATGTTTATTTATAAATTATTTTGGAGTAGTTTTTGAACAAAACTATTTAAAACAAATTTATATCACATTAAAAAAAACGAAAAAAATGAAATGAATTTTCATTAAATGTACACATATCTTCCTGAAATAATTTTTTTTTATTCCAGGTATCTTTTATATAAAAATATTTCGTTTTCTTTACAGCATACTTACATAGAAAATGTTTTGCAGTTCACTTTCTAGTGAGTCTCGGTTAAAAACAAACTTCACATTGGAAACAAAATGACTTGTTGGTGTTTTATTTAGAATATATCTAACTGTGCTGGCTCTCATCTAAACGCAAAAAACAAACCCGTTTTTTGTTTAGTCCTTTAGTGTCCGCTTTTTCTCCTCTTTCTACAAAAACTGTAAATAAATTATCACAAACACCCAACAAAGGAACTGAACAAATTTGTTGATGTACAGTTTTATGTACAGATAATAAATAAATTGTCCATCTGTTCTTTCATTTAATTGACTGCTTCTAATGCAGATGAATGTTCCGTTTTATAATATATATATATATACTATATGTATAATATTTACAGTTCTTTTTCAATGGATGCACTGAAAACACTTAGGAACCGTCAGTTCATGGCAAAAAATGAAAAACGTGCATCAGCACAGTCTCAAAGTCCTGTGATACTGTACAATTACAAATATAAATTTTAAAGTTGCACTGAATTCGAACATAGCAACAAGGCCCCTCTAATTTGGAGGTATGATGGTGTAACTATAAGGCGTCCTCTCTCTGATGGTAATGATTATGTACATCATTACATAAAGTGTCAACTAACTATTATACACATCATCAAATACTTTCCTGGCTGCTAGTTGATGACTGATCCAGTGATTGTTGGTCCACAGATGTGCGACGAACTGGAATGACTGCCGAAGTAGTACTTTCCAACTTAGCTTTCATCCACGAATGTACAAGAATTTCTTCTAAAGTCGGTCTATCAGAAGGCCTTATTGATAAACATCTCTTGATCAAGTCTTGGCATTCTACATAAAAAAATAACAATAATTATAAACTTCTAATTTATTTATAAAAGAAATAATTTTTTTTTCTTCAGATAAAAACTATATCAACCTACCAGGTGATAATCTTCTCCGAAAAATAACTTCAGCTCTAAGAATTTGTTCATCATGCTCAAAAGGTATATCTCCACAAACCATATCATACAAAAGTATACCCAAAGACCAAACCGTAGTGCTCCTGCCATGGTATCGATTACATCTGATCCATTCAGGTGGACTGTAAACGCGAGTACCTAAAAATAATAAAATTTGATTGTTATTTTACTTTTTTAATAGCAAATGTGTCAATACACATTTAAAATAAACCATTTTATTATTTAATATATCATTTATTTATTAAAAAAATATTTTTCGAACGAGAAATATTTATATTCGGGGGCATAAACTTGCTTATAGAGCAACAAACTTCTTGTTTACCATCTCTTAAGTACTTATAGGGCACTTTCTTTGCACAAAACCTGTTTTCAGACACGTACCACATTCCAATCAAGGCTGTCTACCTCTGCACTACGTACCAAAAACCTGACCTACTTCGAATGCCTGCCGGTCACGCTCGGCCAACTATGCCTTGTATGGTATGCGGGAGACGGGCAACCGGCTCGGTCCAGTCCCCAACTGAGAATAAGGGGAAAAAAGTAAAGGGTTGAATGTCCAGTGTTCGTCGAAGACGCAGGTGCGAACGACCTGAACCCTGTGGGCGCAATAATTCTGAGAAATGGCAGGTTTTGACCATCCGACCAACACATTTATCGACCTCCTGGCATCTCGCCAAATCCGCCATATTGAATTGTAAAGTCGTATCGTGTAGTGTTTTGAGGAATGTGTCCCCAGCCAAAATTGGTTCGGCCATCATCGTTGTCTGCTACAGATGCGTTATATTTAGGCTCAAGGGTGGCGACGTTTCGTCTGAGTTGCTTAATTTAGAACTCGGGGATCATAAAGACGCGTCCTTAAAATGACGAATCAGGAAGATATAAACGTACTTGCAAATTTGGTTTTCTTAATGCTAAATTGATTTCTTTAGTCATACTTTTAATTCTTGAAATACATAAACTCAATTAACGAGTTAGAAAATGCCAACTCGATTTTTCTTTCAAGTCTATATAATCAGAGTCTCATTGTACTAATCTCTAACGATTCTTTTTATTAACATGATAAAAATTAAAACACGATATTGGTAGACGGCCTTGAATAGACTTCCAGGTCGACCTTGGCTACCTGACCCAAATTCTTACACCTACTTTGTCTAGTGTCGTCTGCCAACCTTATATCCCAGGGTCTAAACATTTTCTCAGACCCTTTGAAGGTTGGAAACAAGCGTTCCGAGACAAGACACGCTAGGAATTCGTACCGGAAGTGCCACGCCATATTTCGGGGAATGTAGTATAACAAACATCCCGTGTGTAAAACGAGGAGGGGTGAGTCTACAAAATGTCCAGACGGGAGGAAACGAGCAGAAAAAGATCAAAGGAAGTGGGAAATCCTACTAGTCGAACAAAATATGTCCTGGCCGATTCTTTCATTCAATATTTTAAACATTTAATCTTAGCTAAATTTAAATATTTAATATTTTCTGGCATTATCAATATATATTATATTTCAACCTACCATCAAAATCAGTGTAGACGGTATCTTTTAGATACGCTCCGGATCCAAAATCGATTAACTTCAGTTGAAAGGTTTTCAGATCTATAAGGATATTTTCGTCTTTAATATCTCGATGGATGACACCAGCCTTGTGACAAGCAATTACAGATTCTACAACTTGGCGGAAAAATAATCTCGACATTTTTTCATCGAGAACACCTTTCTCCGTAATGAAGTCGAAAAGATCTTTCACAGGTTCGGGACGTTCCATAATAATGATATAAGAATCGGGACGTTCGTACCATTCTATTAAACGAATAACGCCTGGTACATGACAAACCTTCCGAAGAAGGCATATTTCCATTGGAACTTTATTTCCGTTTATCTACAAGGGGAAAAAATATTTTTAGCATCATCAATGCATAAAGAAACGGACGAATAATTTTATCCTTAATTATACGCGACTGCTACCTACAATGACAGCATTAAATATTCGCATATTTTTAAATTAACAATATCGAAAGAGCCGAGGAAATTTTACACCGTAAGCAATAAAACAGCGAAACGCCAAGCCATATAATTCACCTTTTAATAAAAACCCCATCGTTTTAAATTTACAGAAGAGATTTTAGGGCATAAATTATTTTAATGGGCGCGTTTTAAAATCAACCACGTTCGGAGAACTTTTTCCTATTCTAAATCATTTTTTGGGCGCGCCAATGACGTCATAAAACGCCCCCATGCACCGTTTCTAGGAAAACCTATCCAAAATAGGATAATGGAACACGGGCAGGTATACGTCTAAGGCTTAGATTACGGGGTATTCCGAACAAATTAACAATCCCGAATTAATAAACCCCAAAATAAACCCTAGAAGGGCATCTCGTCGCCTACGATATGTATCCGTTAGTGCGCAAGCGTTGGCATCCTTCCAAACAGCCAACGGTTGGCACTCGCAACTCGAACCTAACTCGTTATCATAGCAACGGTATCTACTACATTAATCTTAACCTAATTCAACTGTATTTCCACACTTACCTGTCCCCATAAAGTGACTTTTTCTTTGGCAACGTGTTTGATAGCAACCTGAGAAAAGAACAAAAACAAGACTTAGTACGGACGGCCAACCAAATGCCCACAGTACGTACACAATACATCTACACAACCTTTAGCATTAATGGAAATTCGCGCAATTTACGTTTAAGCTTTTACAATCGATTGTAGAATGAAAGAACGACAAAAGAGAAACAGGATATACTTACGGATAGATTATCCCTAAGTCTTGTTCCGGCGTAAACGGTGCCAAAACCACCTTTTCCAAGCACGGGACCGACACGATATGCTTTTTCGAATGTTTCTTTATCGCGAGCTGCAATAATAGAAAAATCGGTAAATCATCTTGGGACTCCATCGATATGAAAACTCCAAAGGACAAGAGCGAACGAAAATGGCTGAATGAATGGCTTTAATCCTACCTGATTTATCTTTTTCGACGTTGGAACTACTGCCGGATGGAAACAATGCAAACGTTTGAATCTTACGAGCTAACATCGTTTAGTATTCCCAGATGTAAACACAAAGTTAGATCCGTTTTGTTGATACGAAGATTGAACACTCCGCACAACGTCGGCCGTCGACGACGACTTACTCTGATTCTGGTGAACGTTCAACGGCCAAGATAAAGCCCGACCTATAAACGTATCATTCCGCCAGACGGGCGCGATTTCGAAATTCGAATAGGCGCCAGACGTATAAGAAAAAACGTATCGGGATCCGAAACGGAATTCCAAAAGGCAAATTCGTCGAAACGTTGCGAAAAATAGGTACTTAGAGGATATATTTGAAAGGAGACATGGAACTTATTTACTCATCGTCGCGTATATATATAGTCTAAAAGCTAGCAGTGAATAGACCATGCGTCACGGGAATGTTTGACGCGCCAAAATAGGCCAATCGGCATTTAGATATTTCCCACCGTTTTAGAGACCGATGACCAATAGTAAGCGAGATTTTGATAGCGTGGATGTTACGCTCGGTTTTTCTCTCACTCTTTCCCGCCAGGCAGCAATGTTAATGGCCGAAAGAAAGTCCGGGCAATTTCTGTTTCGTCAACAAAATGCCAGAGACGAACACAATTTTCCAAAACAATCCACACAATAAAATATCGATTCTTTTTTCTATATTTATAAATATCTCCGTATCCAATAAGCTATCGATTATTTCTTTGTCGACCTACTCGGAACAACAAGATTTCTTTGTTGTGTCTAGCGAATGGAACAGACAGGATGTTGGTGTTCGATATATATATATATACAATTGAATAGGCAATGAATGCTAAGATAATGCGGTTGACGAACAGAAAGAAATAGTTCACCTCTCGCCAATAAAGCGTTCCAATGATTTTATTAAAAGATGAGGTCGACATTTAAGTTTTCTTCTTTATTCTTCTTCTTTCGACTCGGTGCCTTTCTCGGATTTTTCTTTTTGATAAATTTTTGCGATAGAGCGAAACTGCCAATTTAAAAAAATTGTTACCGATGTTGTGACCTTGCGTTCGGCCGTCCTGGAATTCGTTCAAGGTTTATGTCCCCTCTGCTATCCGTTTTGCCGACAAATTTTCACCGTGGTTCCGAGTCGCCTTCCCCCCTCAAGGACAGCTGTCCACGCCCTGCCCACCAACGCCCTCTGTGATCGAAACTGGGAATTTCCTCCCCCGAGTCCTGTTGGTTATCTTTTGTACCGTAATTAAGAATTTCCTTGTTTTTATTTTAGTTTTTAACTGGTTACAGACGTAATCTAATTAGGCCTGTTTTTATTGGTTTTTCCTTTCGGGGCAGATATTTTCAAATTATTTTTAATTATCGGCTATATTTTTGTATATCAATAAAAAAGAAGGAAAAAAAATATCTCGCAATAACCGTGTAGTATCGTAGTTTTCTTCTAAGTCTTCGGAGCCAGACGGCTTTCCGTGTTCGAGTCAGTCAAAATAAGTAAACAAACAGGATTGTTTCGAAACGCTGTAACCGTCAAAATAATCGACGACGATAAAGCCATCGAAATATGTTGTACCTGACAGCAACAAACCTTTTAAGGGCCGATTTCTTTTTATAAACCGGTATAAATACTTAAAGCGAGTGGACATTCTTAGCGTTCCTAGATATTGTTGACGATAAATTTTTATTTTCGTCGAACGCCGACTCCGTTTCGGCACGGCAGATGGGAATACCTGTGACGTCATAGGGCGGGTGGCGACGCCCACGACAAAATGGTCACTCGTACCCGAAAGAGCAACGGAGGAGACCACCCACGGCTAAAAATGACAATTCCGAGAACGGATTGGATGAGCTTTTTATCTCGGCCCGTCCAACGACATTCCTTCCGAGCAGCTAAACAGTCGAAAGATTTCGATAATTGCTACGTCAAAGCTTGATCAATTGTTAACTAACAGATGCGTACGACTCTCACGTAAAGGTAAAGACTATTTATAGAAGAGAATTGGTATTTAAAAATTACGACTGCCGGATCTCGTTTAGAGAAATTGTTGAACCTGTTCCTGCGTTGCTGGCCCGGCCGGTGATCCGTTAGAAAGTAGTCAGGAATGCGGACGTAGGTTCCGCCAGTTAAGACTAATGTGGGACATATGGAGGAAGTTATGTCTACATCGTAGTCATTGCGAGCATCGTATCTGAGATACTTAAAATCTGTCGTCATGTCACTACATTAACAACTTCCAACGCGTTCATTACGCCTTCATTCACTTATCAAATTGTTCAAATAAAGAATTCATATCGAAAATTTATGCCTTATTTTTATTTGTTTATTTTTTTAAGAAAAATTCATAATAATTGGCTCTTACTACACATTAATATTGCCACAATGGAGATTTAAATAGGAAGACGAAACTTTTTATGCGGTTTAAAATAGCAAAAATGCTTAAACTTATTAAATTACCCAAGAAAATATTGCGTGTAATTTATATAAAATATTTCAATTAATAATATAATAAATTATGAATTAAATGATATGAGTAAAAAGCGTTCATTACAATATTAATAAAAAGACAAATTTAATATTCATTTAAATAAATTGCATTGTCTTTCTAATAAAGCCTTTACAGTATTTATTACACGTGAATGGAAATATTTATTTAACTGTAAACCCTTGAAATTATTTTCTCCTAATTGTTTTGCATTATTATTAATTTAATTTAATTTCTGTTTTCAAAAATATACTTAAATAAATATTTATTAAAGTAGGTTATGTTATTTTCTCATCAGATTAAACAATAACCAGTTTACAACAGAGATCCTGAATAAACTAGTGCTGGAAATTTTTATCGAGGTTGTTTTGGGAGGAGAAAAGCTCACAATTATTGAGATCAGATTGATTATGTATGCTATATATATCGATAATAATAATAAATATGTAATCGAATTCTAGTTATATCTTAAAAAATATATGAAACAATTATAAGAACTGTTGAACCTTTGATGCAATTTAGGCCGTAAGGTAACGCGCACACTTACCAAAATCAGTACATTTATAACAGAAAAGCCAAATTTTATATAGTCTTATATATATAAATTAATGTTTATTTTATTCTAACATATAATCCATTTATGCTCAAGACTTTCGGTGTACAAAAAAATTGAATTTGTTTAGGTAACAAATGCTGATACAGACAGCTAAAGTTCAACATCCGGAAACCTATATATCCGACTTTAAATGTAGATATACATTAGATATCCTTTATCAGATATTTTATGCGACAGACAATATTTCGTAAATTCAGGCTGATGAACCAACATTGCTTCATTGCTAACTGAGCACAAAATCGAGAATTGCAAGTTATGCAATTTGATTCGCGAATAAGTGTAATTTAAGCCTAATATTATCAAATGTATAATGTTCATTAGCTAAAATTTGATTTGAGAATAATATAACGATGATTGGTACGGTATGTTTACTAAAAACTCTTACATTAGTTTTGTTAATTGTATGCATGCTGTATATAAAATATAAATACGGTTTTATTTCGAAATATTGATTTATTCTCAATTAGTAATTTTCCTCGTTAGTAATAATCTAGTATTAATTTATTAAATGCAAATGGAGGAAAAAAAAGAAACATGGAAGGCAATATTAAAACGAATTCCCGATACGTAAATAAAACAGAAAGATTTTCTTTTAGTTCATAAATTTTTAATCTATTAATTTTGAGTGGTTGCCATTAAAATTTTATTTACAAAAATAAATATTTTCGTTCCGAAACTGAAGAAAACAAACTACTAGAACTTTGGGGCTGTGGGAACGGTCATTCAAATAAAAATGCCTACATTCTTGAGGGTCATAGGTTTGGTCCCTCGGGGTACCCTTACTCTCCCATTCACAAATGGGCAGTCATTTCCCAAACTGTTGTCCCGTTTTCGGTTACTATAGAGAATATTATGCCGCCCCCTGAGGGAAGAAATCGTTCAAAAGTCCCTTTTCGGAAAAGTTCTACTAGGAATTCCTAACTTGTTTATTTGCCACGAGTACAGATTAGAGGAATGGAAAGTGACATTCCAACGAGACAAGGGCTGCAAGATCACGTAACTGGTATGTAATCTATCTAAATGTCACGAGATTGGTCTTTTGTTAAATAACTATTTAATATCAGTAATTGTGTTCGAAATAAATGTACTCAATTCACACAGCATGAAGTTCTCGAACAGGAAGTTCAAGATTTTGGGTGTGTCAGTTCTTATTTAGGAAAAACCTTTTTACTGTATTTTCCCTGCATGAGATGTTGCTGTTCAACTCTGTATGGTAACACAATTACAAAACAATTATTAAGCTCTTTACGGGAGAAACAACTATTTAAAATTGTACTTTCCTCTTATGAGATACGTATTGTGGTATGTACTGTACAGTACAATAGTTCTGTTTTAAGAAAACTAAAGAAAAACATTTCAAGAAATTTTGCCAACTCGATTAAAGTCCCATTAGCAATTACGAAAAAAACAAGCTACTCATCAACAACATTTCGTTAGAAATACGTCTGAAAATTAAAAAAAAAAAAAAACCACATAAACATTTCCAAAATATGACTGGTATGCATTCATTATAAACTACAATACGTAGTTACATATAATATTTCAAAATTGTGTAATTGTTGACATAGCTTTCAGTAAATTACATCAATTCCAAATAAAGTTTACAAAAATATTTCTTGCCTCCGCGTATACTATTTTTTCTTCTTTATTATACTCAATTAACCCAATTTTCGTTTAATTTTATTACTCTTAATCAACTATTATAGATAAGGTCTAGGTAATTACCTTATTACGGGTAGCTCCTAGCGTATTGTTGATTTTCCATTGTTACTCAATCACAATATTTTTTCGAAACCTGTCAACATAGAGATATACTATATTATTATTAAATAAACTCATAAATTAATAAACTAAAAATATATTTTTAAAACTAAATAACGAGCGATTAACCTTGAGTCATTACTTTTCATTGGAAGTTTTCAAAGAATTAATTCTAATTTAAAAAATTACAGTCCAAATAACAAATTTAAATATTCAAAATATTAAGGATATTTTCAATTTAGAAACAAAATTAATAATAAACAATGTGATTTATAATTGAATAATTTAGAAATCGTAATTAATTTTACAATATTCTATGTACCGTACAGTACTTTAAAGATGTGGCAATATGGAAATACTAAAACGGAATAATATATTATGAAAGCGAACTTATTGTAAATAATGTAAACCAAACTTTCGTTTTGAAATTGTTTAAAAAGAAAAAAAATAATAAAATTTTAATGAGATTACTCTACGAAAAGTCGCGAAAAAATTTATTAAAAATGGGTGTTTCGATTTAAATAAATAATTTAACGATTTTAGAAACGAATGTGGTAATATGTAAATGAATTTTTTTAATGATAATATTAATATAAATTATTAAATATTGTATATTCGAAGAAATTTTGTGCTGAGATTTGATAAGCTTAGTCGACAGAGCCGAGTCGGCCGCAAGGTTGTTCTTGCAACATCCTGACCATGTATCGAAGTCCACACGACGGTTGCCATAGAGACTAAATGCCACGTGAAATGTTTCCTAGAAAGCATCGTCTTGGACTTCCTCGTCTAGCAAAATATCCTAAGAACCAACCGATTGCAATTTCCCAGGACCGTCTTATTGACATGTAAAAATCGCATCTCGGAAATAGAAAATTTTCTCAGAATTAGTAGTAAAGAAAATTTCAAACCTGATTTTAATTTTTTATTATCAAATTTGTTATGTAATAAATAGCCGAGAGCGAAGACGTCTTGAGTTATTTCCAGTAAATGTAATGCCTCTGCCGAAATCGAAATTCTTTTTAATTAAAACGGGATAAAAACCTATTGCACATAATTCTTGGCTATATAAACCGTTAAAGGGGAAAAGTTGGCCAGATAACGAGTAATTGTCATTTCATCAAAACTAAAGCAGTTTCTACTAACCGATTCCGGTTGATGCTCGATGTGGAAATGCTGTCGTAACAATTTTCTTAGTAAGATATTGATATTTAAATTGGGTTAAATACGTTAGAAAGAAAGAGACGAAGAAA